CCCCCCCCATCACCCTGTCCCCCTCTGAGCTCCCTGTCCTGCCCACTGGCTAATTCACTCTCCAGGACCCCTTGCTGGGGGGCACAGAGCAGCGCGGGGGTCGTGGGGGGCAGGCGCACCAGGAAGGAGCTGATAAGTCCCAGGAGAGAATCAAGAGAGCGAAGGAGGAAACAGCGGCTCAGAGAGATGGTGCCTCCCCCTCCCCACCCAATCTGCCCCATCCGCTACCCACCCCCAGGAGGCAGCGCCGGGGCCAGCAGCGCCCAGATCTCAGGCGGGGACACAGACCCGGTGCGCGGCTGGGGGCCTGGAGCCAGCCCGTAGCCTCATAGCGGGTACAGACCGACACCCCCGAGCCAGAGCCATGGCCACACGCCTGGCCCAGGTGGGAACCAGCCAGAGGCGCCAGGTGGACAGGAATCTGCTGTCGGAGCTGCAGTGGGGCGTCCCACAGGGGACAGATGCCCCGGAGGGGCGGGGGGCAGAGACAGGACGGAGCCGGGAGGGAGAGACGGGCACAGAGCAGGGCACTCGACGCGCTGATCGGATGGGTCGGGCACCGCTTGGAAAGCGACAGGTAGCGTCCGGCCCAGCTGCAGCACGGCTGGGAGCAGCCCCCACAGGACAGAGCCCACGGGGTGGAGCTGGGCCCTGGACAGGACCAGAGCGCAGGGGGATGTGGCTGGACAGACAGTGAACTAGCCGAGAGCGCCCAGCACGGGGAGCGGGATCGGCGCAGGCAGTGACAGGTGATAGAGCAGTGTCTGATCCAGACAGACGGGAGCGTCCCCTGGGGAACAGAGCCTGAGGGGTGAATCCAGAACTGAGCTGAAGACCCCAGACCCGGCTCCAGAGCCAGGCAGAGCCCAGGGCGCAGGAACGGTGCTGACCCGCGGGGTTGGTGCACAGAGTAACAGTGGACGTCCCATGCAGACAGGGAGCCCGGCTGGAGACAGGACAGATCCGGAGTGGGGCACAGGCTGGACAGACAGAGGGGGGTGTGGTGCCCGGCTACTCACCCAGCACCTCGATCTCTGTGCTAGCCGCGAGGGGTTGTGAGCCTGACACTTGTACGTGCCCACCTGATCCCAGGTTGTGCTATTAATGGTCAAGCTGCTCCCGGTCGTTAGCAGGGGCGGCTCTAGCTTTTTTGCCGCCCCAAGCACGGCAGTCAGGCGGCGTTCGGCAGCTTGCTTGCGGGAGGTCTGCCGGGCCCGCGGCTTCGGTGTACCCACGGCCGAATTGCCGCTGAAGCTGCGGGACTGGCGGACCTCCCACAGGCAAGCCGCCGAGAGCTCCCTGACTGCCACCCTCGCAGGGACCGGCAGGCCCCCCCCGCGGCTTGTCGCCCCAGGCACGCGCTTGGAGCGCTGCTGCCTGGACCCGCCGCTGCTCGTTACTGTCGGTGCCGTTGAGAACCCAGCGATAGCTCGGGGCTGGGACGGACTCGGTGACACACGTCAGGGTCAGAGGGGACCCGAGGGTCAGGGCGATGGGTCCTGGGGGAGCTATCCTGGCGGAGTCTGGCCCATCTACACACAGTGGGAGGGATGGCACCAGTAGGACTAAGTATAAACAGGTGCCATGTCCCACCCCAGAGGCAGCCGCATCTCTGTGGCTGGGCAATGCCGGCAGGGCCAGGGGCAGCGCGGCCGGGGGACGGGGCTGCAGTTACTCACAGGCCAGCGTCACGCTGCTGGACTCGCTGCGGTTGGTGCTGACGGGGTTCCTGACCTCGCACTGATAGGTGCCGGCGTCGCCCCAGGGGACACCCAGCACCGTGAGGGTCCGGTTGTCAGGGGACAGCCCCAGCCGCTCACTGGGCGCAAGGGACGACCCGTCCCGGAGCCAGAGCTGAGCCCAGCAACGCCCGGGAGACGCTGACAGGCAGAGCCCCCCCTCCCCCGATGAGCTGCCCCCGCTGGGCCTCGCTGGGCAGCTGGGTCAGGACCCTCACGCGGGACCCCGGCATTCGCCAGCCCCCAGCTCTGGCTCCGGGCGCCGGCTCCTGCTCCAGCAGTGGCATCCTGGGCCAGCTCCCACTGCCGCCAGGTCAAGCGCTGACCCCACCCCCTGGGCTGGATGCCAGCTGGTCCCAGTGCCCCCACTTTGCTGAATCCCCCACGACCAGCGCTGACCCCCCCTGGGCTGGATATTAGCCCCCAGTACCCCTCACTGAGCCCCCCCAGGGTCAGCCCCCCAGCTGGGTGCTCTGGGTCCAGTTTCACCTTCAGGGACTGGTGAATGTGACCCCAACAGCACCTGGCTACCCTCCCGCCCCCCACTGCAGACAGCCTGGGGGGGGGGGCTGGATCTGGGGAGTCCCACGCAAAGGGCCCCACAATGACGTCATGAGCCCTCCCCCACCCCGTAGGCACCAAAACTGAGCAAAGTGGGTGTAAAAGAGCAGGTGGGTCTGACCCCCCCCACCCCCCGTGATTCAGGGGTCTTCCCAGCATGCACCAGGGCCCCTGGGAGAGGGGGGGCTCATCTCCGCAGCTCGTCGTACACACCCCACTGTGCAGCCTGCAGCTCTGGGGAAACAGGGAGGGGTCAGAGACACCCTGGGGGATGTGGGGACACCCCCACCCTGGGGGGCCCAGACCCCCCTCACAGGCCCCCGACAGCCCCTCACCAGCCGGGCTCATCCCCGGGGGAGACGCCCAAAGCCCTATTGCTGGGGCGGGGATGTGGGGGGCGGGGACATGGATGGGGTCAGCGCAGCTCCCGGGTGGGGGGAGATGGGGGCACTTACCAGAGACCCGCAGAGAGATGTGGAGGACACACTTAGTATTGCTCACTATCAGCACCGTTTAGTTCCCAGTGTCGCTGAGCATTAACCCCACGATGTTCAGGGCGCAGCCCGGCCCCAATGTCTCCCGCCCCGTGTGGGCCGAGCAGTTGTTATGAACGGGGGATGTTTGTGGGAAGTAGGTGAGGATCCGGCTGTTTTCATCAGTGGCGGTCGCTGATCGGTACCAGATGCAGGTCAGCAAGTTCTCTGGCGGTGGCTGTGGGGCCAGGCTGACGCCCCCTCCCACCACGGGGCTCGGCGGGGTGAGGACGATGGTCACTGGGGTCTGGGCCGGCGCCGGCTGGAGGCAGGAGCCCAGGACGGAGGCTGCGGGGGGGAGACCAGAGAGACTGATACTAACTGGTGCCCCTCACTCCCGACCTGCAGCCCCTCTGCTTTCATTTGCACTGTCCCCTGTTACAGCCCTGTGTGTCCGGGACACCTGGGTCCCCCCTGACCCTGCTCCACCCTCTCAGCTACAAGGGACCCCTCGCCAGGTGCCGCCCGGCGCCTTTTCCTGGAGCGGGACCTGCCTCGACCCAGGGGCGGCGTCTCTGGCCCGGGACCCTGGAGTCCGGACCCACAGGCAGGGCAGCCCCACGGGGCCCCTCCGGCCTCAGACTTCCCCTCCCAGCCTCGTCCTCCCACTTCCCCTTCGCTTTGGAGGAAGGAACCAGTGCGGGGGGGGAGGGGAAGGGTCGTCTCCCTTCTCCCCCCTCCCCCCGTCGGGTGCCAGGTCCCTGGGTCTCTGCGTGGGGTTGGTTCCGCCTGCTAGATCTCGGGGGAGGGAGTTCAGTATGGGGGGGTCTGGGTGTGTCCCCCCAATGCTCTGGGATCCCCCACACAAAGCAGGATCTGTGGGGAACAATGGGGCTTCTATGGTGTCCCCGGGGTCTCTGGGGAGCCTGGGATGGAACCAGCCTGGGGAGGGAAGTGTCAGAGCCCCCCTTCTGCTACCCCAGTCCTGGGGTCCCCCCACCCAGCTCTGCCGGTCCCCCTCAGTCCCGACCCGCAGCCCCTCGGCTTTCATTGACACAGGCTCCTATTGGAGGCCTTTGTGTCCCGGACACCTGGGTCCCACGTTCTCCCCTCTGACCTGCCAGAAGAATCCCCGTCCAAGGGCCACCCG